TAGAGTGAGGGTACCTTTTAGAAGTTTTACTTGAACTCATTTCAGTCCCATACCAGAACAGTTCAGACTCGATCAAACATAAACAGATCAAATCTCGACAATTATAAAGTACATAAAGACCAGACATCTACCGAATAAGATCAGATCAGTTCATACCAAACCAGATCAGATTAGACCAAACCATAAAATTTCAGCCCAAATAAAAAAAATCTCAATCTAGTCTGGTCTGAAATGTTATTTTATAAGAGTATTATTTATATATTATAATCCAGATATAATTAGTATGTATTCATTTATTATTAAAAATAAAAAAAATTCTTCCAAATTATTGTACAATATATCTTCTCAACCTATCATACATTTTTAATGGGTATATTATAAAGAATTAAAAGTATACGAAAACTATTTTATATTCTATATCATACAATAATGTTTTTTCCCCTTTTACTTATAGAAGATATATCGTACAAATTGAGAAAACATAATGTACAATAATTTGAAAGGAATTTTATTATTTTTAAAAATAAATTATTAAAATTAATTAAATAGGATATAAACAGAAGATAATATGAAAATATACATATTCAGAAACAACATTAAAATATCTATGAAGTTGCTAAAAGAAAAATAGATTTTGATAAAAGTTAGATATATAAAGTAAAAGATTAAAAAAATTACATTAACCGGAGAATAGTGTACATAGACCTTTAAGTGGGAAGAAGGTATAAATAATACTCCGTATCAATTAATATTTCAGGCTAGACCAGACTAAAATCGACGAAATGAGACTAAAACAAATCAGACCAGACCAAATAAAAAAATTTCAGTCCAATTAAAAAAGTCATAACTCTATAACTAGACAATCTAGTTAGTTAAGTTTTGAGTAAACGTCTTATCTGAGCAAAATTCATTTTAGTTAGATTTTTTTAGTTGTACTGAAATTTTCTGGTTTGGTCTAGTTCAATCTGGTTTGGTCTGAACTGGTCTGGTCTTATCCGGTAGATATTTGGTCTCTATGTACTTTATAATTGTCCATGTTTGGTCTACTTATATTTGATTGTGTCTGATCTGTTCTGGTTTGAGACTCAAATAAGTTCAACTAAAAACGCCTAAAACAAATCAAATCAAATCAAACTAAAACTAATCAAAAAAGAAAATTCAAGCCCGTAAAAATTACCCTAACTCTATGGCTTTGTTCTCACAAGTTTTATACTCCCTCCGTTTCAGTTTGGTTGACATAGTTTGATTTGTCAACATTTAAGGAAAACATTTACTAAGAGGTAAATTTTACTGTTTGGGCACTGTTTGGACACTATTTGAACACTGTTTGGACACTGTTTGGCACTGTTTGACACTGTTTGACACTGTTTTGTTTACCAAATGGGAAGTGTGACATTCATTTTGAAACGTCCAAAAAAGGAAAGTGTGTCAACCAAACTGAAACGGAGGGAGTATAAGTTTGGATTTGGATGTGCTTTAGTGACAATTTGGGGTGGGTGGATTTGCCTTTATCTCAAACTGTCACACCGTTATGCACTCCGTATGTTTGCAGTTAGAGAAGGGGCATTTCCTCTCTTTTAATGGAATAAAGAGAATTATGCTCCAAAAATAAGTCGAGGAGTATGGATGCCCTTTAGTGGCAACTCTAGGGGGTTTTGCCCTAGAAATGGCAATTTCGACCGACCCGTTAGATACTCGCACCGAACCGATTTGGTCAAACTGGGGAAAATTGGTTTGACTAGGGAATGGATATGGGCGGGGAATACCCGAATTTTTTAAATGGTTAATAGTGCATTTATGGTTCCATACTAATCCGCCCTGTTATCCGCCTCGAAACTGCCCCGTTCACTAACGGTGCAGGTACCTGCATCGTTACCCGACCCGTAACATTAATAATGAATTATAACTTTTTATATATAAGAATAATAAGTATATATATGCTAAATTGTGTATACTAAATACTCGTAGAGCCCGTTTGGTAGTTTACACATTAAAACTTCACATGCAAAATGATTGCATGTAAAGTTTAGGACTGAAAAATAGTTTGCATGTAAAATAGAAATGCATGGTTTGGTTATGTGTGTAATTCCTTTTTAAATTACACCGTGGGTTTGATGTGGTGCAGGCCAATGCAGTCTTCAATTATTGAGCCTGATTCAGCCCTCACGTTTGATATAAGCCATCTCATCCAAATCTATTAACCGAAGTAGAACAAATATGCTGAATCATGCTTCAAAATCGCAGCACACCAACCTACTTTTTCAAATAAAAAACTCACCCACTAATAATTTATATATATACGTGTTGTATATATATAGTTATAAGCACAAAAATGGTCATCTCTTTCAAAACCGACTTCCACAAATTCAATTCTTAGAAGAAGGATAATAACTACACCAATTAGTTACTTCATGGAAATTGCAGTTCAATGGAGCAGCATATTAAGATGACAATTGTGCTCTTCACGATTATCTTTTCTTTTTATAGACGAGACTCGAGAGCAAACTCTTTATTATTGCGGCCAGGCTAAAACAAACGGTGTAAAATGTTTACTTCCCTACACTTCGCATGCAAAATGTTTACTTTACATCATACTAAACGGGCCCGTAGTATATATCATATAAATAATGCTAAAAAGTATACTACTTTTTAGGCCTAAAACAAAATATAGGCCTAAACCAGTTTTTAGAATTTGGATTTGGGAAATTTACCGGGATATGACTAAAACTCAATGAGTTTCTCAATGTATGACCTAACTAGTTTTTATACCTTTGTATGACCAAAAATCTAAAAACAAATAGAAAATTCGTTTATGTTTAAATGTTGAATGACGAAAATACCCTTATTTAAAATGCGTGCACTTTGCACTAATTTCGTCCAATTAAGATTACCGTACTTTATATTTCCGTTAATGCACAAAATTAATGCATGACTTTACTGCACATCCGGTAATAATCATTGCACATTTGCACTTCCCCTAAAATTAATTTTCTTCTTATTCAATTGAGGATTTTTTTAATTTAAATTTTTTATTTATTTTACATCTAATTAAGTATATTGCATTTCATGATGATATCACTCCTTTGTGTTACTGCAATACTGGTCATAATCAATGCACAACAAAATTTCTTAATGCATTCATTCACTGTCATGTACAACATGTCTATTACTATATATATTCACTGTCAATACTCCACACTTATTGAAATATTCAGTGACGGTGTTCAATGCACATATTTAATGCCCACAAACCCTAAATTCAATATGAAACCAAATCTCAAAAAAAAATGGAAGGATGAGAGGGACGAATGGGCAATAACGAAGGTGAGTTGGAGTGTCGTCATGCTGCTGGGTGGCGGCATTGGTTGGATGTAGACAGAGGTGTGCGGATGGGTGGCGGCGTCTGCACGTACGCATCGGGTTGGAGGTTGGGGCGCGGATGGCATGGGAGGCGGCGCGCACGGCCTGGGAGGTGGTGCACATGTCGGGGAAGGGGCGCAGAGGTCTGTGACGGCAGCGCACAGACCTTCGAAGGTGTTCACAGGTCTGGGACGGCGGCGCTTCGATCTGGGACAGCGGCGAGGAGCGGCGGAGGGACGGTGGCTCCTTGGGATCTAGGCTAATAGCAGATCCAAAGCAAAGCCATCTTCACCGCACTCATCACGTAACGAATTGCTACAAAACCATTCACGTAAACTCATGCGCCACACTCCCCCTGCTAGGTAATGATTCAACAATGATGTTCATTAATAATTCAATTGATTGGAAATAAAATTGAATGTGGAGCGTCTGGGTTTGGTGAGTATGGGCATTATGTGAATGGCGGAAAAGTGATTAGCGTCTTCAGGCTTTACGTGAATGGAACTGGCTGCCCTGCGTGCTATCAGGTTGGCGCATGGGATAGACGACGGCTGCCCATGGTGTCTCCTGGACGGCGGCAGATGGCGGGCCACGGGGCAGCGGCGGCAGGGGGTGTGCGGCTGCAGGGGTGTATCTACCGAGGTGGGAGAATGGAGCCTTGGGTTAGGGAAAAGAGTAGGAGCCTAGGGTTTTATAGATATAACGTAGGGGCCTAGGGGTATTTGTGTCCACCTAAATTATTTATTTATTTATTTATTACGAATTTAATTAAATATTGTAAATTTTAATATTATTTTGGTAAAAAAACTTGTTAGGTCATAGATTGATAAAGTGGATAAGTTTTAGTCATACCTAAGATAATTAACTCTTTGGATTTTGGAATGATTACTACCTTTTTATTATGTTACAAGAGATATTAGGTGCATGTCATACTAATATATTTAGGCCTGCTTGATTGCTTAAATATTTAATTTTGTATGTATTAGGGTGCTTTGAATATATAGATAACAAGTAGCATTAGAAATTAGTTATTTGTTTTCCAAAAAATTGTTATTTGGCGTCATTTAGGGAAACGATTACCCGTGGATAAATTGATTCCCCGTTGGGGCGGATACGATTCAAATAAAAATTACCCGAACGAGTAATAGAGCGATTTTGAAGCAAACATTTATCCAACGGGACGGTTTTAGTTTTATGTGTACTCATCCCCGATCCGCCGTTGCAATCACTTTTTGCCCCTTTTCCCTTCAAACTTAATCGGGACGGGATGGGAAACCTCTCTTATTTTTTGAATCGCCGTTTTGTCGATCATCCTGAGGCTGATTGCAATGCAAGGGGTGAAAATCCCAAATATGAAGTTTTCATCCCAAAACAACTGCAACCCGGATGTATTTTAGTATATAGAGGTCTCATCGCCAATACAGAAAACTGAGGGGAGGGGTATCTATGCGGCACATTGACTCTTACGTAGGAAGAGATTCACAGGTGGGCCATCATCCAAGTTAGTGGCCTGCCATTTGCAGAAGGAAAAAGGTGGTCCAACTTTATGAGTTTTGTGCGTGGGATTGAAGCTGGCTGCATGTTGGGAAATAAATGAAAAGAAATTGGTAGTATTGTTGGTATTTTAATTTTACAAAATCAATTGATTTAAATTTAACATTAAACAAGTTCATAGTACTTCTACGGGTTTAGGTCACTAATAATACTAATAAAGATGATTTTGACAAAAATAGGACTTGATTTGGTAATTGCCTAAAAAGAGATAACCACGCGTCTCATTTAGAAACTTTAGGAGTAAATTGTCATATTTGCCCCTGTTTTATTTGATACGCATTTAATTGATTTTCTTTCCTAACTAACCTAACGAACGCTTTTCCTTATATCGCTTATCAGATCTCTTAATACGATTGATCGATCTGAAATTGAAGCTGACGAATTGACGGTAACTATGGAAGACGAAGGAGGAAGTTATCGCTGGTATGAAACGGAAGATTATACAAGGATGAAGAGGTAATTGGCGAATTGTATATGCATCACACAGTTCGTTTTTTCGTATGTGTAATACATCGTTCGTATTTGAATTTCAGTGTATGTATTTCAGAATTTACATTAAATTTAAGCTGTTATTAAACGCATAAGTAATACAGAGCTTTTCAATGAAAAGTGAACGCATTTGGCTGATTATATCTTTTTAACAGCAATTATGTATTTGTGTTTGAGTTGTTTAACTATTGTTTGTATAGAATTCGAGACTTATGAATGGATAATGTAACTGTCTTAGTTATTGTAACTGCAAATCCCTGAGATTCGATTACTGGATGTGATTGTATTTGTAAGTTTAAGTGATTTCAATGAAAACCTAGTGAAATTTGTTAAAGTGACATTCTGTATTTGTGGTGTTATGTAGCTTGTTTGTGAAAATTTTTAAACTGATTTTAATGAAACCTAGTGATTTCATTGTAAAAGTTAAAGTTCAACAATATCTAACTGTAATTGTGAACATCAATATAATGAATAACTATACAAAATAGGGGTAACTGTAAGTGTGAAAATAAAGATAGTTTTTGTGATTCTGAAACTGTATGGGTGATTGTATTTGTTGAAACAAAGGCGTAACTGTAAGTGATAAAACGATGTTGTAATTTTTAGTGTTGAAAGAAATGTGTAACTGTAAGTGATAAAACGAAGTAGTAATTGTGAGTGTTGAAACAAGGGCGTAACTGTAATTGCGATCAGTAAGTGGTAACTGTCAATATTTAATTAATGGGGTAAATGTCAATGTGAAAATTAAAGTGGGTACTGTCAATATTGGAATAAAGTGGTAACTGTCAGTGTGAAAATACAAGGCGTAACTGTCAATATTGGAATAAAGTGGTAACTGTCAATGTGAAAATACAAGGCGTAACTGTCAATATTGGAATAAAGTGGTAATTGTCAATGTGAAAATACAAGGCGTAACTGTCAATATTGGAATAAAGTGGTAATTGTCAATGTGAAAATACAAGGCGTAACTGTCAATATTGGAATAAAGTGGTAACTGTCAATGTGAAAATACAAGGCGTAACTGTCAATATTGGAATAAAGTGGTAACTGTCAATGTGAAAATACAAGGCGTAACTGTCAATATTGGAATAAAGTGGTAATTGTCAATGTGAAAATACAAGGCGTAACTGTCAATATTAAAATAAAGGAGTAACTGTCAGTGTGAAAATACAAGACGTAACTGTCAATATTGAAATGTAGAAGTAACTGTCCATACTCCATACAAGTGGTAACTGTCAATATTGAAATAAAGGAGTAACTGTCAGTGTGAAAATGTAGTTAAGTAACTGTAACTACAATGTAACTTACATTATTTTCAGGTTGCAACAAGTGATGTTGACATTATTTTTTGATGGAAGATGGAACAAGGACAAAAAATTTGTTTATAGAGCAACATACGGATTATTGATTAATCCAAATGCCTCTTATTGTGACTTGCTTTATGAGATACGAGGTACTGTGGAGCTCCAACAGAATGTCAACATATTGAGTATATCATATCAAATAGATGAAACATTTGAGCCAACAATTATAGATAATGATCAGAGTGTAAGGTTTTATTTACACCTTAAGACGGGTGTCAAATCTGAAGTTGGAAAATACCCATTGTGTATTCAAATTGAAAATGATAAGGTAGTTCCTGATGTGGATATGGACTGCCACAGTGATACCTGGGAGGAAGTAGGTCAGTCAGAGTTCAATTTGAATGATGAATACCCAAGAACTGATGTGACAATGACCAGAAATTCTGAAGTATGTACTGGACCACCATCCACAGCAGGTCAACTTACAACTTGTTCAACAAGTTCTTTATTGTCATGTATGGATGGTAGTAGAAGTGAAATATTGGATGGAATGGACACAACATTAAGGATCAATGGGCTATATCCGAGTAAAGAGGAATTTAAGGAGACTTTACAGATATATGCCTTGCACAACAAATTTGAATTCGAAACCAAAACTTCGAATCCTTGGGTTCTCCATGTTATTTGTGTTGATCAAAATTGCAAATGGGCTGTCCGTGGAGTTAGAATCAAGGAATCAGATTATTTTCAAATCAAAAGGTAGTTCCAGAGGGTATTATTATGCATTAATTTTATTTGTTACAAAATGAAAGTATTGTTTCACTTAACAACTTTTATGTAATGTGTGCAGGTTTGACAACGTCCATTCTTGCTCAATTGACTATAGACTTGGTGCAAATAGGCAAGCAACCGCTGCAGTTATAGGAAAACTTATTAAACATCAGTACCTTGATGCTTCCAGAAAGCCTTATCAACCAAAAGCAATAATGGCAGACTTAAGCAGGGAGTTAGGGCTGAATGTGAGTTACAAAAAGGCATGGAGGGGAAAGGAGCGTGCCTTGACTTCAATATCTGGAACAAACATAGAATCGTATGGAAAGTTACCAACTTTATGCTACATGTTGAAAAAAACAAATCCAGGTTCACTTGTTTTGCTTGACACTGATAAGAAAGGGAATTTCAAAACTTTGTTTATGTCACTAGGAGCTTGGAGAGAAGGATGGGCCTTTTGTCGTCCAGTTATTAGCGTTGATGGTTCTTTTCTGAAAGCCAAGTTTCGTGGAACAATTCTGAGTGCATGTTCTCTTGATGCGAATAGACAAATTTTTCCAGTAGCCTTTGGAATATGTGAAAGAGAGAACAAGGAGTCGTGGTCATGGTTTTTTAATAAACTCAAGGAAGCCATTGGGGTTAGAGCTGATCTCTGTATCGTGTCTGATAGGAATGAAGGTCTGATTCGGGCTGCACAAGATATTTATCCTGAAGCTGATCATGGGCATTGCGTCCAACATATATTGGGAAACATAACATCCAAGTACAAAGGAAATTCAAAGAGAGTTACTACTTTTTTCAATGCAGCTGCACGGGCAGCAACAGAGCGCAAATGGGAATATTTCATGAAGTTATTAGATGCAGAGGATCCTCAAATAAGGCAATTTCTGGAAAAAATTGGTCATGATAAGTGGGCAAGATGTAAGTTTGCACGAAGGAGATACTCGATGGTAACTTCAAATAATGCTGAGTCATTAAACGCAATGGACGCAACCGCAAGAGAATACCCAATATCAATGTTGATTGAGTTCCTAAGATCAAGAATGCAAACATGGTTCCATGACAGAAGGAAATTAGCAATTGAGAATAATTCAAAACTATCTCTTGCAGCAGAGGAAGTGCTGGTTAACCTTCTCAATGATTCAACAGGGATGATTGTAAGTTATATGTAAATATATTATAATGCAGTTACCAAGTGAAGCATTGAACATATATTCTGTTGAATTGTAGCATACAATCATAATTGAACATATACTGAGTGCAACATATAATCATTAACAAATTAACGATTGTAGGTGAGACCAAGTACGGCTTACTTGTTTGAAGTGATTGACAAAGCTTGCAGAGCATACATTGTTGACCTACTGGAAAGGACATGCACGTGTAAAGAATTTCAATTGGAGGACTTTGTTTGTGTACATGCCGTGGCAGCGATTGCACACCGGAAAGGTCTATCATGCTATGATTTTGTTTCAGAATACTACAAGAACAGTGCATGGTTAAATGCATATAGTGGAGTGGTATATCCTTTAGGAGAGTATTCTGTTGATGATATTCCAATGGAGGACCGCAACAGGGTTGTAAAACCACCAGTCTCGGATAAAAAGACAGCTGGGAGACCGAAAAACAAAAGAATCCCTTCAAAGGGTGAGTTTGTGTCAAGACAAACTTGTGGGAGATGCAAGCAACATGGTCACAATCAAAAAACATGCCACAACCCAATACCACGAGTTCCTAGATAGATTTTACTATAAAATGTGTTTGGTCTTTGTAAACAATCGTATTGAATTACTTTACTTCATAATAATAGTGCTGTAATAAGGATATTATGTCAGGATTATAACCTGCAGTTTTCTGGGCAGTGACTAAAGTGTATTATGTCAGGGTATTAGGTGACATATGATTGCTATTACTGGTTTTGGTTGTTGTTTCAGTATGATAATGCTTGATTCTGTTCTGTGAAGTTTCATAATCATTTTCATTCATGATGTCCATACTCCCTACTAGTTGTGATGAATGACATGAATTTATGGTGCTTAAGCAAAGTCTGGGTAAGAAGTTTGAGATAAGCCAAATTTTATGGTGTTTAGGAACCCAATCTATCTAAGGTAGGTGTACCTATAGTTACAGTAGCAGTAATGGATAGTAGTTGACCAATTTGTGCTTTCATCAGAGCAACAAAATGCTGAAATTGATCATTGATGATTTACAATGTTGGAGATATCTGATTCTACATAATTAATTGTTCTTGAACTTTCAATTGATTCTCCTAGATATTGTTTAGCCTTTGATTTATATTTTGGTATCCAACCAGGTGGTAGCTGAGTAAGTGCTTGCTTCCATAACACCCTATTTAGAATGAATGTGTATAGACTAATATTTCTCTTTTACTAGTATCAATAATTTTATTTCTTAGTGAAAATGCTGAAAAGATTAGTGTCAGACGTTTGGAACACAGGAACACTGGAAAAGATGATCAATGGCTATAATTCAGAAGATTCAAATGACAAGTGATGAGTCATCTATGTTTCTTGACCTGGCCTTATTGGGAAGAGTTTAGTGATAGTGACCAGTACATAGTTTATATACTAAACAACTATAATAGGATATGCCCCAGAAATAAAACAAAAGGATAAGAAACCAATATTCCATACTTAGTATCAGTATTACACAATGTTTTCATGTAAAAGTCATGAAAAAAGAAACATCAAAATAGTAGTCAAAGATGATACATTTCAGTAGGAACCTGGGCACATATCAAAAGACCTCAACAATACGCAGAAAGTTGAGTGTCAAAGTGATTGTTTACAGTGAAAGTTGATCTAAAATTTAAAAAATAATCACTTCTTAATTGCATCAGAGTGAATTGCCAGTGACTTTCCCTTTGCTGAGCCATATACGTAGAGATCATGAGCCCACTTCGCGCGATAATCAGCTATTCTGTCTGGGTATACAGTACGAACGTCCAAGGTCATTTGAAGCACTTCAGCAAATTTGAGAACCATAAATCCACAATCTCCACTACAAAAAAAATAAAAGAATTAAAAACAAATACAATCTGTACACACGTATTAATCAATAATAATAGAAGGGAGAACAGTTACCCGTTCACTTGTTGCGGAACACCAGTGACTACTTCCACCTCATATGGAACAACTTCTTCAGGAGCAGTGTTGCTTGAAACAGCTTTAACATCAGCTAGAACTAGAGGAAGAAAGTGAATCAACCCTTGCATCTTTTTAAGAATATTTGGCTTCATAGTACCCAACCTATTGTTGCTATCGTAGAGCCGCAAAGTATGCGCCTGAACATCCAAAACCACAAGAACCCAATGATTGGATTCTATAGATGTGTAGAAATACACATAATCAGATTTTATCCATGGCCGGAGATACAGCGTAGGATCGCCAGATAAAGCGTCATTCAAGCAACCATCCAGAGATGCATCATGTGGATCACATTTTCCAGATTTATATCGAATAAATAGTTCATTTATTCGATCAACAACGTAGCAGCTCGCTGTAGAGAACTTCTGAACAAGCTTGAATGTTGCAGCTTTCAAACGGAGATAAAAATCAACAGTCTCTATATGCTAGAAAATCATAAATATATTAACAAATGATAATCAGTAAACATGACAAAAATATTAATTAATTTAAAACATTATTAACACATAACACTTAAAAACCATACCGTAGAATCAATCCATTGACCAGATTGATGAAGCTTGTACAACCATGATTTCTTCTCAATTTCAAGCCCAGGATCTAGAAGAAGAAGAAAATTAATCTCGTGTTCAGGCTTATACTTCACTTTGGTTGCCACATTTTTGTGTCCACGTGCAACACCTTCCATAACATACTTAGAAAACTTAAGCTGCTCAGATTTAGATTTGAAAACAGAAAATGGATCAAAGCTGAATGGGCAAACAACTTGCAGATGACATGCTTTTTTGTTCTTTTTCAAAGCTTCAGAACCCGGAGTGTAGCGAGAAGGTGATTTGGCCTTTCTTTTGGGTCTACCTTTAGTCAAGGTTAGATCATCAATCTCAACAACATCAATAGCAGTAACCGGGTCAGTCTGCAAAATATGAAAAGTAAATATGAAATTAAAGTGGAGAATAAAAATATAGTGACCAAGAGAAGAAAATTTGTAGTTATAAATTTCAAAGTCACCTCATGTGTGGTTTGAGCAGATGGAAGAATAGTACAAGGTTGCTCCTCAAATGTGACTGCCTAGAAAAACGAAAAATTGAAAAATATATTATGTAAGTGGTATATTTAGAAAATAAACGAGATAAAGTTCAATTAAAATAACTAAAAACCTGGAGTTTCTCATGATTGATGTTTTCATTTATATGAGAGGAAGAGGCTGGTTCACAACCATTAGGGATTACAAGCTATTGAAAAGGATAAACAGTTAGACATGATTTAATAAATAACAAAAAAAAAGAATAAAATGTGAGAAATATGTACACATACCATCGACTCGTACATATCTAAAGCAATGTTGAGAGCTTGAGTCATTCCCTTCTCAAACATATCATCAGAATCTGTGACTACATGAGGTACTTCTAGCAATGAACAATCTGAATTAAAATTGACATCTTCATTTGCTACAGTATCTGCATCAACATTCACACCGGCATTGGCATTGGGCTGGTCTGAACAACGGGTTGGAGAATGACTGACACCTTCAGAAATTATTTTATTTGTTAAGCTTTCAACATATTCCTTGAACTTCATAGCCATGATTTCTTGGTCTTTGATCAACTGTGCAATTGTTCCATCCTGCAGCTTGATTTTTTCATCAAGTTTTTTTATCTCTAAACTCTGTAGATTCAACTGATCTTCTAGAGATGATATCTTCAACATAAGAGAAGCTTTTTGATGTTGTCCATGTTGTCGATCTTGAACAGAAAATGAAGTTGTATCATTCACTGGTTGTTCCACACTGACACCTGCATCAGTCCTAACTACTCTATCCACATCATCCCTCACTAATCTAGGAGATTTCCTTTGATTACTTATCTTAGAAACGTGGATATCAACTTGTCTTTCTTCACAAGATATAGAAGTACTATTATACACGGGTTCCTGCGCAGTGACTTCCTTGTCAGTATTTCCAAGTCTCAGCAGCTTCCTTGCCTTAGTTTTCTTAGGAACAACAACATCAATTGGTATGACTTTGCGTTTCTTTATGGGCACTTTTTTCTTGGTCATGCTAATAGGTGTAGCAGCAGTGGACTGAGGGATGACAACATTGCGTGGTGTAATTGGACAAAAGACAAACTGTAAATGCATAGAAATTAGTAGATATTTAACATGAATCATACAAATGAACAAGAAATTGAAAAATAAAAACATGACATAATGGAATAGATCATTGCGTTTAGTGTAACATAAATATGAACTCACATGCGGGTTAGAGAAAATAATACGCTTCAGGCATGCACTACTGGGCCTAGAAGTAGAAGACCATCGTAGAATCAATGGGTATGCATTTGTGTCCACCAGTTCAGTAATATGTGTCTCTTTAAGTGCAGGGAAGACTTCATAAGCCCAAACTTGTAACGCCATAACACAACTATACACATTGTAATGTTTGTTGGATATCATGCTATCTACCCCAGCCTTAAAGTAATTAATCATATCTGCCCATATGACACTCCCCCATGGGTAAGAATTAAAGTTCTCCAGATTATCTACTAGGTTAATGTAATGCTTATTTAGAGACACTTGACCATCTGCGGCTAAAAAGGCATGTGACAAAACAAAGAGCAAAGACAACTTAACTATGTCATCATTTGGCAATTGACCTTTTTCAAGGGTCTTAAACAAATTCTTAATATCTGACCGAAAAACCCTTGTCTTGCGAGTAGGAAAGTAGTTTGTCCAGATCACTCCCCTCTCAGTTATAGCAGGTGGATTAGATTCAAAATGGTCATCGAAACGGAGGCCTAAAATTTCAGTGAATTCAGAAACTGAAAATGATATAAGCCTATTCTCTATTTCGAAATGAAAACCGGAAGAACCATCTTTCTCACAATCATCTAATTCAACCAAGTTACCCAGCAACAAATGTAATAATTGCCCACAACAAGTGATCTCCTTAGCATGTAAGAATTTCCCAAAGACTGTCTCACTAAACAATTGAAGTTGAGCAGGAAGAAGTTTGGACTTAATAAGCTGTATTGAGTCATAAAGCCTTGAGAAAGTATTGACTTTCCTGTTTGAAATTTCCTTATAAACCAATGACTTCTCTGCCAAGCGCTTATATTTCTGGTAAAACAAAATGAAATTTATAATGTGTAAGTGCATGATAAAACTAAAGTATTGGACATTATACTTCACTAAAAAATAAACTTACAGGATTAGCATTATGCATCAACGCTAAGCGATTTGAAACACGGCGTGATGGTGTAGTCACTGGAGGAGATGTGAACTCACTGTCCGACATTTCTAAATCAAAAAAAAATATAAATTTCAGTTAAATGACAAAAATGACCTAACACAAATGAAAAACACATAAAGTTAAATGAAATAAACAACTACATGGAGATGAACATTATAGAGTAGTAGTTATAAAGTGACAATAGATTGAGAATCCTCATTAATGTAGCAGGTCATTACAAAGGAAAAGTATTATACATTAGCAAACATAAGCCTACTTTAAATATCACTGAATAGTGACCAATTCGTATACAGACCTAAGTGAAGGATATTAACAAGTAACAACATCTTCTACATAAGGAAAATGCAAATTGGTAACAAATAAAGCTGAATGAGAAGCACAAAAAACACAGTAGAGTTGGTATACAAAAGATAATACGAAGGAAACAATGACAATGAAAGGAAGTCTGAAAAATCAAAATAGGACAATTATAGTAACATATTCAAATATATACACCACTTAAACTTAGTAGAATCAAATTCATCAATTGAAATCATAGAATAACGATAATTTCATCGGAAAGCAAACTCAAAAATGAAATTCATAATTAAAAGTATTTTCCCGTGCTTTATGAATCGAGAAAGTGTACTGACCGCAAGAACTGATGATTACAAACTTGATGCAATCGGAATCAAATGGACGGAGTATTGAGGAGAAACTGATGAAAAATCATCTCGAGAGTCGAGAGAGAAGATGAGCGTGTTCAGAGATGAGCGTGTTCAGAGTGAGAAAGCATGCATAAACGATGGAGTTCAGAAGAGTGGAAACGGCTAGAAGGGGTATATTGGTAAGTTCACGGTGTGGGTAAAAGGGCCGGGCTACATTTAGTGAGTTTTACGGGAAAATAAAAAAAGGCCCTATTTCTGTCAAAGCAAAAGTCTGTAGTATTATTCATGTCATTATTTCTACTTCTACTACTACTTCGTATATTATATGAAAATATAATAATGTAGAAATATAGAAAAAAAATAATAGTTTTAATTTTATTTCAAATTGAACTCAAGTGCGCATTTGTAATACTTACAAAAAAATTAATTCACATTTTTTATTTTTTTGCATCGGTATGTTTGAGTTTTAAAACAATAATTATAGGTCAAAAAAAAATTAACACATAAATGATGTGTAATAAAATAACTAAGGATTTATGCATTTAATTAAAAAATAATGCGCTGAGGGGATATATTGACGGTGTTGGGTTGCAGAGAAAAACTGAACTGACTGAGTGAATACGTATAAACAGGAGGGAAATTAGATTTATTGACGGGCTGGGTTGCGGTTAGCCTGATCCACTCCTAATTGAAATAGTGTATCTGACACTTTCACCCTCAATCATTTCCGTACGCTATGGGGTCCATTCACGTAATTTACCATGCGCTCTTCTTCTTCACTTCCACTCGCCGGACACATCTCCCCTTTCATCCCTCTCATTTCATCAACCAGTCTTCTCGCTGCTGCAAAGGAATCCTCTCCGAAGCTCAGGTCTTTCTCTTGTTCAAAAATATTCCTGAATTTTTTACTCTATCGTACTTGATTAGTTGATTGGCCGGCACCATAACGCGTGGTTCTGTTGTAAGTTTGTAGGACGAAGGAATTTAGTCCCGCGATCTCATAATCGCGATTTGAATATTGAGAAACAACTGATGGATTTGAAGGAAGGGAATCCCGAATTGAACAAGAATCTTTACCCTGCCATAGAGCCGTATGGCTCAGGTTTTTTGAAAGTCTCTGATCTTCACTCCATTTATTGGGAGCAGTCTGGGAATCCCAATGGGCATGTGAGCTCTCTTCTTCCTCTTCCTCTTTTTACTCTATTTGCTTCTTTGTATTTGATTTTGATCGATTGGTTATACTATGTTTCTTCTGATGCGGTTTGCTGGATTTAGATGTCAAGTGTAACCTCTGCAATAAAAATTTGACCATCTGTGTGGATGAGCATCTTGGTTATATATACTTTTTGCTTAACATTCTTTGACATACTCCCTCAAATAAAATTCATACTTTGACTTTAAGGTTTTTAAGAAAGTGAAAGTTTTGCTTTTGACTTTCCCATCATACCCCTCAAAAAGAAAGTAGATTACATGTAGTGACAGAGAAGGTAGGTAATAAAGTAAGAGTATACATGTAACTTTATATTAAAAACTTCCAAAAAATAGAAGTGTGAAGTTTATTTTTAAGCTGGAGAGTGTGAAGTTTATCTTGGACCGGAGGTAGTATATGATATATCCATGTTTAGAATTCTTATACCACGAGAGAAAATTAGCTAAGTACTTTTTGCATAACTTTCTCGGACTATTCTGCATTGCCATTACTCTGAAGATCATATTTGTACTTCCCAGCCTGTTGTTTTTCTTCATGGAGGTCCGGGAGGTGGAACTTCGCCAAGTAACCGGAGATTCTTTGATCCTGACTTCTACCGGATCGTTCTATTTGATCAAGTAAGTCACATGAATGTTTTTGTCTACCTGTTAAAGGGTTGTTTTTAGTGCTTAGGCCAGAGAGATCATTTTGATGGATATAAGGTATGGTCTTGGTCTAGAGAGGTGCAGGTAAAAGTACACCCCATGCTTGCTTGGTGGAGAATACTACATGGGACCTTATCGAGGATATTGAAAAACTAAGAGAACACTTGGAAATTGCAGAATGGCAGGTCAATTTTTATTTATTTATAACATAGATGTGGTTCAATGGATGCTTCTTTTCACTCTTAATAAGAAAAGTATAATCTTTCCAGGTATTTGGTGGATCGTGGGGGAGCACACTTGCTCTTGCATATAGCCAATCCCATCCTGACAAGGTTTTGATTATTAGGAAATCTCATATGTAAACTTTAATGAATGAAACTCCAAATCATTATTCATTAAAATGATATAAGGTATATAAATCAACCCCATACTTATCCTGTACTTCTCTATGCATTTAAGGTTACTGGCTTGGTCCTCAGAGGGATATTTTTATTGAGGAAGAAAGAAATTGATTGGTTCTATGAGGGTGGGGCTGCTGCAATATTTCCCGATGGTATGATTTTTTAACAACATATAAAGGCCTGTTTAGTAACACTAGTCAGCCTTTTTCCTACAGAAATAATCAAAATAACAAAAAGGACTAGCCACTGAGTCACTGACTTGCACTTATTTCGCTAAAGTCGATATTACCAAGTGTTGTTCATTTTAGAAAATTCGATAGATCAACCCTTTTTGGCCAAATAACCCTTCACAAGAAGGCCCTTAAATGTAAATTTAACCTTGTGAGGTAATGCTTATTAGTTAATAGTTGTCATGAAAAGGTTGCTTGGCAGCCAAATCATTGCTTGTTGTTTGTTGCAGCATGGGAACCATTCAGGGATTTGATTCCAGAAAATGAGAGAAATTGCTTTGTCGAGGCATATCACAAGAGGTTAAATTCAGATGATCTTGAAACACAAGTAAGGTTAATTTCAGACCTAAAATGGTGTGTGCGCCGTCTGGGTTCAATCTTTGCAGACCATTTATAATTGCACACCACATTAGTTATGTTCTCTCACTGTGTGCTTCATGATTAGTTGTGATTTTTTGTTTTATTTTCTGAAGATCTAAGTTTTACAGAATGCAGCAGCGAGAGCATGGACTAAATGGGAAATGATGACTGTTCATCTTCTCCCTAACGAAGAAAACATAAGGAGAGGAGATGACGACCAATTTTCATTGGTGAGCAGTTAATTTAGCAACCTTTTGGGATATAATATAATACTATCAGTATAATATAATACGAAGTATAATATAATATATTTGAGTAAATTGTGTATCATGCTTACTATGATTTTCCATCCAGGCATTTGCTAGGATTGAGAATCACTATTTTATCAACAAAGGATTCTTCCCTACAGATTCTTTCCTGCTAGAAAATATTGAAAAGATAAAGCACATCAAAGCTATAATTGTTCAGGTGTGTGAATCCTCTTTTAACAATACTTGGATAATGTGGTTAAGTTCACTTATTTAAATAGTGTGATGCCATTTGTCTTGATGTGTTTTGATTTTTGGACATATCTGTTATGTTGCAGGGTAGATATGATATTTGTTGTCCAATGATGTCAGCTTGGGATCTTCATAAAGCTTGGCCTGAGGCAGAACTCACGGTAATTGATAACTTGTTTCCAGCACTGATTTTTTGGGGGCTCGATATTTATAATTTTTGTTCTGCTTTGTTAGGAGATGGGTTTCTCATTTTTTTTACAGATTTTGAAGCTCCGTAGATTAATTTTAGATATTCATTCAAACTCATTTTATTCAACTGCTTCTACATTTTTAAAGACCGACTCCAAAGATGTATACCATTTTAATCACAAATTTCGTCAAAATTGTGCTAATAAATCTTAAATGCTTGTCTAAAACCATTTCCTTTCTTTTTGTTGTTGTGGGGGGTGGGGTTCATGTTACAGGTTGTTAGAGATGCAGGACATTCGGCAAATGAACCAGGAATAACAGCAGAGCTTGTGGCTGCAAATGAAAAGCTGAAAAACATTCTGAAAGGTATATAGCCATCCTTGGAAGGGACACAAAAAATAACAGAACCTGTACCACCTTTTGGGCTTCACTGCCCCGCAACCCCTTCAGACAACGGATGATATTTCGGACTATGGCCTGAAACTGTCGAAGGGAACTTTACTTTGATTCGTTCATGATTGCCCATGTTTTCTTTTCTTCCTTAAGACCTTAATTAAAATGCTTCATTCTCTTCGTAGAAAATGAGGTTGAGATTCCATGAACATGTCACTCGTTGTATCATATTCTCAAGACAGAGAATCTCTTTCTAAAAGGTCAAGCTAATAACAGAATAGCCCCTCTAAAAAAAGAAAGCCCCCCTAAAAAAGTGAGAATTAGTCAAAAAAATATATGGAGTATATTGGTTTAGTGTTTTATGTTTTGCGAACTCAAATATAAATGATAAATCTATGTTATAAGACCCGGACTGGCCGGTCCCACCCGGAACCCGCCCACCCCGCTACATATCCGGTCCGGCTGGGCATCGA